TCACACATGCAGGTGAGGTGCAAAAAACATATATTTTTTTCCTTGCTTTTTCAGTAGAAACTAGTGTCACAATAAAAAAAATGCATTTTTGGAGACACAGGTGCCCTTTCCCTGCTCATTGGCCTTTCTCCATCTACATGTGAGGACAGTGGGTCAGCCTCCCTTTTTGGAGCCTTGTGTCCTCGCTTGCATTATGAAAGCATATTGTACTACATCTCCACTGAGCGAAGAACCAAGTCCAGAAAAAGGTACAGAGATTCAGGCCTGGGTTGCATGCAGTGGATCTGGTCTAGGAGTTATAACCTGGTCTAAAACACCCATGTTCTCCTTAGGAACAGTGTCTAGCCTGGCTTACTCCCTAAAATATTTGAAAGAAAATCACGAAACTTTACTTCACAACAGTCTACAGCACGGAGAGCTTGAAAACCCGCGAGGCTTCAATTTGCCTGTTTAAAAAGGAAGGAAGGGACCCAGCATGGTGGCCTAGCAGCTAAAGTACTCGCCTTCAACATGCCAGGATCCCACATAGGCGCCGGTTCTAATCCCGGCAGTCCCGCTTCCCATCTAGCTCCCTGCTTGTGACCTGGGAACGCAATCAAGGATGGTCCTGGGATTCTTCACTTGCACAGGAGACCTGGAAGAAGTTCCTGGCTCCTGGCTTCAGATTGGCTCAGCTCCAGCTGTTGTGGTTACTTGGGGAATGAATCATTGGACAGGAGATATTCTTCTTTGTCTCTCCTCCTCTCTGTATATCTGACTTTGCAATAAAAAAAATAAAATCTTTAATAAAAAAAGAAGAAGAAGAAAGGAAGAAGAATGACTTGCAGGAAAGAGACACTTGGAGCATCTATTTTCTTTCTCTTCCTCTAGGTGACAAAAGGGGAAATGCCATGCCTTGGCTGTGCATGAGAAGCTTGGGATGCAGGTGGCAGGGATGTGTGAGGGAGCCCAGTCTGCGGAGGGGACAGGTGCTGGCCACAAGGAGCCGGCATAGCAGAACAGGCTGCTTTCCATTTTGAAATTCTCTGCGTGAATAGAGGTTATTGTGCAACTGGGATTCCAGCAGCACCCGCCATCCCCGGCGAGTTGGGATTTACTAACCCTTGTGACCGAGGATGCTGGAAAGGGTTTGGCAGGAGGCATTTGACAACATTTGCCTGTTTTCTATTGAGAGCTGCCTCCAGATCACGTGGCCCTGATTACTGTAGGCTGCTTGACTGCTGTGTTATTTGTTCTTAGAGCAGGCATGGTGTCTACAGTGATGGGGAGGAGACTGTGGCAAAGAGCAGGATGGAGGAGAAGCAGAAAGGCCTAGAATCAGCCAAGGATCCCAGGGAAGCCCAGGACTACTGGCTGTCACCTCGGCAGGGAGGCCAGTGTCCTCTCCTGGGGCTGAGGGGCTGCCCACTGCCACTGCAAAGAGAAGATACGCTGAAGGACATCCATGCCCCTCAGAGAGCGAGATGCTTATTGCCCAGCTATGCTCCTCCCTACTTTCTTTTTTTAAGTATTTTGAACAGTGAGTAAAAAGACATATAAAATCATACAGCCACCTAAGTGGGCAGTTTTGCAATCACCTTAATATCTTAAGTGTGTGTACCTAGCAATTCTGTTTCTTTTACAATTTGTTTTAATTTTATTTGAAAGGCAAAAAGAGAGAGAGATTTTTCAACTGCTGGTTCACTCCTCAAATGCCTGCAGCAGCTAGGGCTGTGCCAGGATGGAACCAGGAGCCTGGAGCTCAATCCAGATCTGCCTCATCAGGGACAGCCATCCTAGAACTTGGGCCATCACCTGCTGCCTCCCAAGATGTGCATTAGCTGGAAGCAGGACCCGGGACTTGATTTAACCACTATGCCAGCTGTGTGCACCCCGTTCTGACACTAAGATGACGAAGCCCTTCCTTAGGGCACTATTTGAAGAGCTATCCCAGGGACAACCTGTGTGCCAGGGTGGACAAGGCCTCAGGACCCAGATGCTTGGCCTTGACCTCAAATACCTCTGACCATCCATTCTGGCATCAGAGTTCCCTGAGGGGTTGGATAGAGCCCCTGTTGTAACATTCTCCCCCTTCAGTGCCCCTTCTGCCTGCACCAGCCTCCCTTCCTCCCCCAGACAGGGACCCTCCCACACACATCAGCCTAGGTCACCAGGTTCCAGGTCTCTGCTTAGGCTGGGGAGACTGACTTAGAACAGTGGAGCTTTTGGAAAACCTTTTTGCTCCATCTGGAATGTTTCCTCTGCCCTTGGTTTTCCCAGGGTCGTGCTGTCAGTTATGACTTGTCATCCGTTTGTCTGCCCACTGAAACATCACCTCCTCAGAGAAGGCTTCCCTACTGCTGCTCGTGACACAGCCTCTGAGACACTGTCCTAGCAGCCAGCCCAAGCAGGACGCTCACCAATAATTAATACACTCCATGTTTACTCAGCATCTGTTTTCCTAAAATTGTTACTTATTTCTTCCTCCTCATCTGTTCCTATTCTTGATTTGTCTTATCCACTGATGCCTACAACAGGGCTTAACAAATAGCAGGGACTCCACAGAATTGAATTTAGTTAATGACTGAAACTCCATGTGAAACATACAATGGGCATTCGAGGATAATTTGGTGTTCTTTGAACAACTTTGATAACAGTACGACTACCAGTCTGTACAACCACCAGTTTCAAGTTCTCAAACTTGATTGGACCTTGATGGTAGATGGTAGATATGTTATTTGTTTAAAAGAAAAAAAAAAAATCAACTGCCTGACCTTGTGGGTTGGAGGATGAAGAGTCTTCTGGAATGACCTATGCGACCCTTTATTTAGAACAGATTGTACAGAATTCGACACAGCTGAAGGCAAGTAGTCTGTGCTTCTGGTAGGAAGAGAGTAAGCCCTTCTCCAGGCTGTCCTTGAGACCATAAGCCCCCAGCTGGCAACAAACATTGCTGAAGCACTTGATGCATAATAACTCCCTTCAGCCTCACATCTGTGCTCTGAGTTGGACACTCCTGACACCTTCAGGTTCCAGGTGAGCTCCAGGCAGTTTCACTTCAGAGTCTGTACCATCCAGAGCCTTACTGCTGCCAGCAGGTGTCAGAGAAATGCATGGAAAGGAGGCATTTCTCTTCCAGCTCCTTCCACATGCTTTATTTGGAAAAGCATATGTTCACACCACTACAGTGAGTGTATCCAATCTTGTTCGTGCAATTCCAATAATTCCTACTCCCAGTGCTTCCCAGGCATGCTTCAATTAACCTGGCACTATGAGAACTAGTATGGTGATAACGGTCAGGGAAGGGTGCAGGGGGAGAGCTGATCTGGGGAGCTGAATAAACTTTTAAGTAGAGCAAGTAGCAGTACACACACACACACACACACACACACACACACACACACTCTCTCTCTCTCTCTCTCTCTCTCTCTCTCTCTCTCTCTCTCTCTCTCTCTCCTTCCTCCTCTCAACCAACCAACCAATGAGCAAATGATGAGAGCAAGAGAACAGGCTGCAAACCTGAAACAACCTTCGCTCTCCTTGTTGCAAAACAAGCAGCGGCTGAGGCTCCTGTTAGAGGAGATTGAGTTCCTGCCAGCTTTCTCCGCAGGTTGCAGTCCTCTCACCTCGGGATGGATTAGGCCAGGCACGCTAATGTGATTTGCTCATTACGGTCCATCTGCTTCCTTTCCTGATTTCTCTCTCCTCGATTCTTCCTCATTTCTCTTTTCCTTTTCCTCCCTATGCAGGGGCTTGGCAGCCCTAGAGACCAAGCCAGGCTCCTTTATCTGTCCCGTGAGGGCTGTGTGTGTACCCAGCAAGCAAGGGAGTTGCTTCAACTTGATTTCCCTCCCCTATCAAATGGTCACTGTAATCCCAACTTCACAGACCTGAGAGGAGGAGAGGGAACACGCACGCCAGGTGCATGGGGGCTGGCTCGGAATCTTAGTTCCCTTCTCTTTACAACTCAATTCCTTCACTGCTATGGGAATAGTAGTCTTTGACCACCAAGATCCTCTGGCATAGAGAGCTCAGCATAACCCATGTACAAGCTTGTGGAGGAGAATTTGTATGTAGATAATCAAACATGAGTGCAGTCATATTCGCATCCCAAAATATTTGGCTGAGTCCAAGAGTTCCAAGCATTCAAGAGAAAACCGTTCTACTTCATCCTTCTGGTTAATGCTATCAGTGTACAAATAACTGTAAACAGTTGTCATCAATTGTTAATTCCCTAAGGACCCATTGGTAAGGGGACTAGGTCTCTGTTTCTATAATTCACTGCAACACTGTTAGTTGTTATAATAATGATTTCCATTAAAATCAACTCATGACATCCATGTGGAATCCAATCTTTGCCAGATTTTCTTTTGATAATGAGTTACCAAAAAAAGATGTAAAAATTCAAATGTCCAGCTTCATCCTAAGTTGAGCCTTTGGCAGATGCCTACACATTAAACAGATTTCCTGTGGTTACTGGATATCAAGTTATCTTAAAGTGAACTTGTCTCTCCCTGTTTCTAGACACCTTTGTCTTTTAAATAAATAAGTCTTGAAAAAAAAAGATGGGATCTGATGTTATGGTGCCTCAGGTTAAACAGCTACCTGCAATACCATCATCCCATATGGGTGCTAGTTCAAGTCCTGGTTACTCCACTTCCAATTCAGCTGCTTGTTAATGTGTCTGGAAAAGCAGTGGAAGATGGCCCAGGTGCTTGGGCCTCTGTCACCCGTATGGGAGACCCAGAAAGAGCTCCATGGCTCTTGGTTTCAGCCCAGCCCAGCCCTGGCTGTTATAGCCATTTAGGGAGTGAATCAACAGATGGAAGATCTTTCTCTCTATAACTCTGCCTTGCAAATAACTAACAATTTTCTTGTTTGTTTTTACAAAAAAGCTAGGGGTGGGGTGCAGCAGCAGCAGTGGGGTGGCCATAGGAACACACTGAAGTGATATCATAGACTTGAGGTAGAAAGATGTGAACATCCCAGTGAGGGGAAACTTGTGACAAATGGAAACTCACCATTGTAGAGTCGCAGGAGTGGAGTGGGGCTTGGATGCTCTATTATTTTCTTTTTCCTCATCTGTTGAAGGAAACAAAAAGGAGCTACCTTCAGTAAGAAATGTAGAGAAAAAAGTCTCCTCAGCTCCTCCAAGTTTTAAAGGACTCTGTCTTCAGCCACTATGGGAACAGTATGGCAATTCCTCAGAAAACTAAAAATGTGTCTACCACAGGACCTAACTATCCCTCTTCTGGGAGTATTCCAAAGCAAGTGAAACCAGCATCTGAAAGAGCCACCTGCACCCCCAGATTTACAGGAGCTCAACTCACAACAAAGACATGGAATCGACTTGGATGTCCACTAACCAATGACTTAAAAAAAAGGTGGTATATATACAGCATGGAATACTACTTAGCTATAAAAAGAATGGAATCCTGACATTTGCAACAACATGGATGCAATTGGAGATCATCATTGTAAATGTAAGAATCCAGACCCACAGAGACAAATATTACAGGCTTCCTCTTGTAGAAGCGAATGGACTGAACGTTTCTGCTCTGATGGTATCTGGAGGGCCTTCGGAAAGTGGGCAAGTCAGGAAAGAGCCTGTTTGAGTGGGGTTAGCGTACTTGAAAGAACGCCTTCCTGTGCCATGCTCACACAGGAAGCGAGTCCTCGCCAGACCCTGAATCTTCCAGTGTCTTGATCTTGTACCTTCCCAGACTCCAGAAATGTGAAAATAGATTTTTGTTTTTTGTAACTCACCCAGTCTATGTTGTTTCCTTATAGAGTGTTAATGACACACCACGTGCCCTTTATGAGCCCAAAGGAATACAGTGAGTGCAAGGTAGAGGGTGAGAGTTTAGGTTAGCAACACAATAGAGTGGGGCTTAGTATCGCTCCTCCCCCGCCCCTTTTTTGATAAAGGAGCAGAAAGAAAATATTTTAAAGTTTGCAGGTGTGGCGACAAAACCAAGAATATTATGTAGAATTCACAGGACAGGGACCAGCACTGTGGTATAGCAGGTAAAGCCAACACCCACAACATTGGCATCCCATATATGGGTACAGGTTCATGTCCTGGCTACTCCACTTCAGATCCAGCAACCTGCTAATGAATGACCTGGAAAAAGCAACACAAGGTGGCCCAAGTACTTGGGCCCCAGCACTCACATGGAAGACCCAAGTGAAGCTCCTATAACTTTTCTAATACATTCCTATTAATGAAAATACTAAATTCCTTTGGTGGAGATATATAACAATTTCATTAAGTGTAATTCAATAAATATTCATTGGTATTTATTAATACATTAATACTTATTAAATAGATTACAACAGTCATCTGTAAGAGTGATTCTTAGCATAGAGTTTTCTGGGGACAGTATTGAGCCAGATTTGCTTCATGAATATCTGGCTGATTAACCTCTTCTCTAAAACAATCTGAACAACAGATTAACCTTTATATACCTTATAGGAATAATACATAATTCTATCATGGATTAACTGAGAAATATCTAATTCCAATTTACAGTGAAAATTAGTCATAAAAATTAATCACAGTAAAAAAATTAAATATATGAATTTTTATCCAAGGTGACTGTTAAAACAATCTCAAAACAAAATTAACCAATGTCAAAACCTATAATCAGTAAAATTTAATATGAACAAATGACAAAGATCAATGAACTCAGTCTATAGTATACATTTTATATGGAAAAAAACTGGAACCCATGAAAACAGTCTAAGTAAAACGAAAATGGAATACAAATATATATATAATATATATAATATACAATATATTATATATATAATATATAATATATATAATATAGAAAGTTTCTTAGAGTAAATCGGCTCAGTATAGTTGAATCCAGAAAATATGATCTCGATGAAAAGATATCAATATTTGTATAATTTTGACAAAAATGTCTATTAATGAGGCTGATGTTTAGCATAGTAAGTTAAGCTTCTGTCCATGGTGCCAGCATTCCATTCGGGTTCGTGTTCAAGTCTGGCTGCTCCCTTTCCCACCCAGCTTCCTGCTAATGGCCTAGGAAAACAGCAGAGGATGGCTTGTGTCCTTGGGCACTTCCACCCACAGGGGAGACCTGACAGAAGCTCCAAACTCCTGGCTTCTTTGGATTGGTCCAGCTTTGGCCATTGCAGCCATTTGGGAGTAAACCAGTGAGAGAGAGACCATCTTTTCATCTCCTTCTGCCTCTCCTCTCTCTATAACTCTGCCTTTCACACAAAGATAAATCTTTAACTTAAAAAGGTTATTAGTTATCACAGTGGTAAGTACTACAGTTGTTCATTCAATATTCATACTGGTTTCATTCTTTCTTATTAGCAAAATAAGTTGAGAGGAGATCATGTGTTCTGCAAGAGTGAGTCCCCTCTCAAATCCTAGAGAGGTGAATGAATGTTGCTTCATTTCAACCAGTTATGATAATTATTCTTATGTCATCTAGCCACTGATTGGATTAGATGGGCATGTGACATGAGGCAGGCCTATCACACTTAAAAACTTTAAGCCCTTCCCCGATACAGTGTCCCTTTCTCCTATAATACACCTATAAAGATACTGTGAGGGAAGAAAACGTCCTCCATTAATAAGGCCTCTCTGCATGGGGTGTTTTCTTCCCCACCACCAAAAGCATTGAGCTGATACAAGCCCAACCTTACGTTTCCCTGGCTTGCACTGACAATGTGACTAATACATGTGCTCCCACTGAAATGTTTTGGGTTTTTTTTCTGCTTCTTTCATGAATTTTGGTTTAAACTTATTTATCCAATTCAGGCAGATGAACAGAGCCCTTACCATCTGATGAACTCGTCAAATGCACAAGACAGCTGGGGTTGGGTTAACCGGAAGCCAGGCAGAAGGCAGGAACTCGACCCAGATCTCGACTGTGAGTCACAGGGACACACATGCATGAACCATCACTCGCTGCCTGCCAGCCTGTGCATGAGTAAGACGCTGAGATGCAGGCATTGTGACAGCAGATGTGGCTGTCCCAAGCAGCACCTTTACACTTCCCACCCTTTGCTTCTTATATTTCAGTATTTCATCAACTTGGAAAAGATGCTAAGACCTGGCTTCTGATATTAACATAAAAATGGACTGACCCTGGATGAACAAATTGCTCTACTTCCTGGAGCTCCATTTGTCCTCTTTTATAAGCAAGTCATCTTATTCAAGATACTTCAAAAATTCACGCAAAATGTTTTCCATGAACTTATTCATTTTCAAATTTTTATTTCTTTATTTGAAAGAGAGTGAGAGTGAGATTTTTCATCTACTGGTTCACTCCCCAGATGATAGCAAGCATCAAGGCTGAGCCGGGACACACCAGCTTCATCTGGGTCTCCCATGTGAGCGGAGGGGCCCAAACACTTGGGCTGTCCTCTGCTGCTTTTTCTAGGCCATTAGCAGGGAGCTGGATTGGAAGTGGAGACATGAACCAGCACCCATATGGGAAGCTGGCACTTAGGTGGCAGCCTTACTTGCTATATCACAATGCCAGCTCTTTCATGAACTTTTTATAGACCTCTCATGGGGCTATTCTAAATATCATATTAATTAACAAATATGTATTGGATATCTAATGTGTGCCAGTAAGACACTGCAGATAAAGAAAGTCAACTCTTGGGGTCCAGCAGCATGGCCTAGCAGCTTAAGTCCTCGCCTTGAACGCGCCGGGATCCCATATGGGTGCCGGTTCTAATCCCGGCAGCTCCACTTCCCATCCAGCTCCCTACTTGTGGCCTGGGAAAGCAGTCGAGGATGGCCCAAAGCTTTGGGACCCTGCACCCGTGTGGGAGACCTGGAGGAAGTTCCTGTCTCCTGGCTCCGGATCGGCACAGCACCAGCCATTGCGGTCACTTGGGGAGTCAATCATCGGACGGAAGTTCTTCCTCTCTGTCTCTCCTCCTCTCTGCATATCTGACTTTGTAATAAAAATAAATAAATCTTAAAAAAAAAAAAAAAGAAAGGGCCCGGCGCAGTGGCGCAAGTGGTTAAAGGTCCTCGCCTAGCACGCCCGGGATCCCATATGGGTGCCGGTTCTAATCCCGGCAGCCCCGCTTCCCTTCCAGCTCCCTGCCTGTGGCCCGGGAAAGCAGTCGAGGACGGCCCAAAGCTTTGGGACCCTGCACCCACGTGGGAGACCTGGAAGAGTCTCCTGGCTTCGGATTGGCATAGCATCGGCCGTTGTGCTCACTTGGGGAGTGAATCATCGGACGGAAGATCTTCCTCTCTGTCTCTCCTCTCTGTATATCCGCCTTTCCAATAAAAAAAATAATAAAAATAAATCTTAAAAAAAAAAAAAAGAAAGTCAACTCTTGCCCTTGAACTTGGTTGGAGAAAAAAAGACCAACTGTGGAGAGAATGTCCCTGTTGAGTAGAAGTAGCAAAAACCTGTGTTACAGGTAAGCAAAGGAGTGTCCCAACCTAGGTTGTATGGGAAAGCAGATCTAGGAGGGAAGGCTTCCTGAAAGAAGTGGTAAGTGAACCAAGTTTCCGAGTGAGCCAGTGGGATGTGAACCAACTGGCAGCAAAGAGGACCAGAGGTCAGAGGGAAGGTAGAAGTTGGGAGTTAGGGCAGAAGTGAGGAACAGACACAAGGACCTGAAAGTTCATGTCACTTTCCCAGGAGCAAGGAGCCTGCAGCACAGGTCCTTGAGGGGTTTGGTGGAACAGAGTGAGAGGAGCTGGAGAGGTGCTATTTAATCCCCAGGCCATCCTGTTTTAAGATGGCTTCTTGTTTTACCTCCATCTCTGAGGATGCGAATCACAAGCATGAGCCTCTGGCAGAGGCCTTCAGAGCCTTCCTTTCGGCAGAGATCTCCTGTGACAGCAGTGACCTTCTCCTGTGACAGGGCTTCCTCCAGAGAAGATAAGCACAGCACCAGGCCCCCACACACCAGGGAATATCACATGCCACATGGGAGGTGGCCTTGGTCATTGCACTATTTGTAAAAGCAACATATGCTTTAAAAAAAATGAAAAAATGCACAAAAAATCCAAATCTGGAAATCCAAGCACCCATTTGGGCAGAGGGAACTCCTGTTTACTTCTC